AGTCAATCAAGGAAAGCTCATACCACAAGTTATCGGGTTTGTTGATAGAGAAAATACCACAAAGCCCTGTAACCTGCATGAGCACCAGAATCCATCACAAGGTTTTGAGAGACCTTTTTTAAACAAATAGGTTTAAGGTTTTTTTCAGTAGACCAATTTCTACCACAGGACTGTCCATTTAATATTGTGCTTTCCAAAAAGCAAGCATACTACAGAAGTAAAATTCTCTACCTGACGGGAGAGATTTGGTAAACATGTATTTGTTTCCCATTCCAGCAGCGGGATCCAGGTTCACTGAAATTCTCTTTGTGGCCAAAGCAGCCTACCCTGCTCAGAGCTTCTTCCTCTTTGTCTTCTCCCCAGGGACTAGTTTACGTTTCTTAGCAGAGACCGGTTCATCATCTTCATCATCATCTTTAAACAAAAAATAGTGTTAATCAAAGTCAGTATGTTTTCACAGCCACCATCTGATGGATTTAATCTGAATTGACTTAATGCTCAAGGTATTGAGCATCCTGGAAGCAGATGCAATAGCATTAACTGGCAACATCCTCATTTTTAGAATGTAGAAAATACAAGAACAGAATAAGAATAACTGGTTATCTGAAGTACCGCAGACCACAGAGAGCAAGTAAGAAAAAGTTGACGTATCTTGTACAGCTGAGGAACGCAGCACCTGCTCCAGGAAAAGAGAACAGCGTTTCCATAGCTAAGATTAAAAACTAGAAAAAATCATTTTAGAAGCAGGAAGTAATGTCATGGTCAATCAACAGCTTATCTCCTTAGTCTTTGTGTGAAGGTTGGCTAAGAAAAAGTACAGAGGAGAAGAGAAAAAAAAAAAGAAAAAAAGATAAGTGTTTATTTCTGTATGTACTAGGCTATCACTACTGCATGTACCATCGTTAAAAGTGACAGGAATAGCAAACACCCGAACACCTTCTTCGTTAATCTGTCACTCGCACACTTTACTTGACTGCCCCCAGGAGAGTCTGATCTGCTGCTCAAATACTTGGACGTCTCGGGCCAAGAGGAGCCGCTTCAAGGAGCTCTCCTACCACCTCCTCCTTTACCCAAGAGGACGTGTGTCTGAACCTGCTCATCTTTAGCTACTGGAGTTTTACAGACCCTTTAGTCCTGCTGCTGCTGACACCAGTGGAAGCAGAGCTGC